AACAGAGGTTATTCCATCTGAGACAAGAAATGTCAATCAGTATTAAATTTTAATTGGGCTATACAATGTGCTTCCTAGCAAAATTATGTTTTCACTTCACCTCTGCTCTGGGAGTAAGTTTAGTTTTGGGGGGCTGCTTTGCTGAATTAGGCTTTTTTAATACTTTTGAAAACACCAATATTATACATGACAACTCTCAAGACTTTATGGGGAAGGATTTAAGGGGTATTAAGAGGAACTGTGGAAACCTCTGTAAAATATAATTAACTAAGGAAAAGTGCTGTACCAAAACCAGTAGCTGTTACCAAACGTCCTCAGTGCAGGTCCATTTCCTGAAGACTAATATTTGGACTTTCCTTCCTTATAAATCTTTGGGTCTGGAAAGTATCAACAACTTGTACAGTGGAATCAGCACCAGAATATTTGTGCATCGTAAGTGTCTCCTTTGGTAGCAAAGTTGGATCAGGAAATGTCTCTTGAAGAACATCTGTTGCACGAAGGAAACCAAACTGTATCTGACTGTTAATCTACCACACACTAAATAGCACACATTGCACTGAGCAGAAGTTACCACTAATTAGGTCACTCTGGTCCTAAATCTGCATAAGGAATCTATCGGAAAAGGCTTTCTTTAGCGATAGACCAGCCTCTAGACTGCCGCTTTTCTTTAACAAAGCTCCATGCCGGAAAAAAGCGGAGGCCATTTTTATGCTAATGAAGCACGGAATATTTAAATCCCTACTTCATTAGCAATTTTGCCCAGCCTAATCTGCCCGCAGAGGGGTGCACTCTAGACATACCCTTAATTAAATTATATGAATTAATTAGCTTGAAAAAAGGATTATTTTGGACTGGGAATATGGCATACCATGTGCACTAAACTGCAGAAACAGGCTAGGATATCAAAAAGAGGCTCTTCATTAACCCACAGCAAAATCAACAGCAATATTCACAACAACCCAAGTAGAAGGCGGTGGTAACTGGCAGTCTCCTATCATCCTATGCTATTGTAGGAGAGAGAGCACAAGGAGACAGTACAAAGAAAGGACTATGACTATTCCTTTAAAAATATGGAGAGCAAAACACTGGAATTTATAACCAGTTAGAGAGTAATCATTTATTTGTACTTAAATACTGACTTAAAACATTGCATCCGATAACTGAATGGATAAGGGGACATGTGACAGGAAAGCCAAATCATTGCCAACATATATACAGGGGCACACATAAATGATTATGTTCTTTTTGCTTGCTTTCTTTTGGTTTTTTGGTGTGTCCTGGAATACTCCTGAAACATGCAAGTGCTACCCATTCAAGAATAAAAGAAACATTTAAAAGACTCCCAAATCTTTTCAGGGGACTTTTGCATTTAGAAATGGTTTGCTTTTTCTATGTGAAGTAAATAAACAATTGGATAACTATACAATTTATAAATTTAAAAAACAACAAATGATCTGGTAGGACTTTATAGACTAACCAAACATGTAGATGTAGGGTTGCCAGGTGTCCAGTTTTGATCCAGACAGTCTGGTATTTGAGCTTTCTGTCCAGGAAACAAATTGAGAAAATACCGGACATATAGATGTCAGGTATTTTCTAATTAAATAAGTTTTATGATGATCATTCACGAGTATCAGTACGTAGTTGCGTACTGCCTGGCTGGTAGACACGCTCACACAGCATGAGCGCAGGGCAAGATGGAATTCCCGGGGCCGGACTCACCCATCTGCGCAGGACCATGCGCAGGACGGGCAACACCCCAAGATCTGTGTGTGACCGGGCCAGATCCGCTTCCTGCCGGCTGGTTCCCCCACTCTCAATCTCCCCTGGCCAGCCCTGCTCCCCACCAGCCAGTTCCCCCTCCGCCCCCAGATCTCCTCCTGCAGCTGGTGGCAAGATGGAATTCCCGGGGCCGGACTCACCCATCTGCGCAGGACCATGCGCAGGACGGGCAACACCCCAAGATCTGTGTGTGACCGGGCCAGATCCGCTTCCTGCCGGCTGGTTCCCCCACTCTCAATCTCCCCTGGCCAGCCCTGCTCCCCACCAGCCAGTTCCCCCTCCGCCCCCAGATCTCCTCCTGCAGCTGGTTCCCCCCACTCATCTGAGATCAACTGTGTCCAGAATTTTTGTTGAAACCAGATGTAGATGGTATCATGAGTTTTCGTGGGCACAGCACACTTCTTCAGATGACCAGTGGGCTGTGCCCACGAAAGCTCACGATACCATCTACATGTTTGTTTTGTTAGTCTATAAAGTGCTACCAGACCATTTGTTGGTTTTTAAGTTTATTCTGTACAGACTAACTCGGCTACCCCCTGAAGCTTCTTTACAATTTATGTTATTTTGGATAATTCCAAGGGGCTGTAGAATGCAGAAGTGTAGAATGTAATTACTCATGTATTTTTAAGGCAACTTTATTTCATTTACAGGTGACCCCCGCATTTACGACCTAATTGGTTTCTGTAGAATCATCGTAAGTCAGGGTGTCATAAGTTGAACCCTTATTTCCAGCAGAGGCAATGTTATAAATGGGGATTCTTGGCCCGCTTTGCCTTCTGGGAGTTGTAGTCCACAGCACATTGAGCTTGAGATGCCACACTGGGCTGGAGCAGGGCAGCCATAGATGCAGGGGGTTGTAAGTCGGGTGGTCATAAGTTGGGAGTCGCTTGTATTGTAAATATTAAATTTGTTATACAAAATCACAAAATCACAGCCATTGAAAGCTGCAGTTCCAAACTTATTTTATATGGCAGTGTTTCTCTCGAAGTGGTTTCACCTGCTAACTGATGGCTCCAGTGTGTTTACTTACCGGCGCTGCAGCCATGGAGCCTCAAGGCTCCCATTGGCTCCAGTTTGCCATTTGCAGTTAAGGGCCAGGCTACCACTGTTCACTACAAACAGTGAACCAGAGCCAATGGGAGCCATGAGACTCCATGGTTGCAGTGCTGGTAAGTAAACACACTGGAGTGGCCAGTTAGCAGGTTTCTCAGACCACTTTGAGAAACACTGATATATGGGACAGCAGCATGAGCTTTCTGCCCATGGTCTTTTGGGAAATGTAGTTTATTATTTATTTTTTTAATAGATATAGATATATATCTCATAGAGCTGGAAGACATCTTGAGAAGTCATCTAGTTCAGTCCCCTGCCCTCACAGCAAGACCAAGTACTATCCCTGATCGATTTATCCCAGATCCCTAAATGGCCCCCTCAAGGATTAAACTCATAACCCTTGGTTTAGCAGGTCAATGCTCAAACCACTGAGCTATCCCTCTGTTCTGGTTACTGGTTCTGAAACAGGGAGGCTACGTCTAGTTTGGCATGATTTTCCAGAAATGCTTTCAACAGAAAAGTTTTCTGTTAAAAGCATTTGCAGAAAAGAGCGTCTAGATTGGCACGGACGCTTTTCCGCAAAAAGTGCTTTTGCGGAAAAGCGTCCGTGCCAATCTAAACGCGCTTTTGCACAAAAAAGCCCCAATCACCATTTTCACAATGGGGGCTTTTCTGCGCAAAACAAATCTGAGCTGTCTACACTGGCCCTTTTGCGCAAAAGCTTTTGCGCAAAAGGACTTTTGCCCAAACAGGAGCAGCATAGTTTTTCCGCAGAAAGCACTGATTTTTTACATGAGATCGTCAGTGTTCTTGAGGAAATTCAAGTGGCCAGTGTAGACAGCTGGCAAGTTTTTCTGCAAAAGCAGCTGCTTTTGCGGAAAAACTTGCCAATCTAGGCACAGCTGGAGTGCTGCCTCATCCCTTAGATTAAAGCGCTTTCCATCATGCAGAGGGTTAACAGTCTGGTTCACTGTCTCTCCGCACTCCCCACCCCAACCGTTGTGGTGCAAGTTGCACCTCTTTAGTCCAGCACCGTTGGGACCTGACTGGTGCCAAACTAGAGAAATTGCCAATACACAGGAGATTAGTATTGTTTGTCTAGCAGTATTACCAACAAACACTTCCACTGCTTAGTAGGCTCTTAGAAGACATTTAGGACATTTAGGGGTAAATTAGAGCTAAATAACAGCACAGAACAGCGAGAGCCAGGACTGGTGGCTGTAAAAAGCTTTATGGGACCATAGGAAATTTGGCATCAGTCATGTTAAGTGACTAATCATGCCAAACCACAAAGGTTGCCACACTAGAGAGTGTTGGACTAAAGAGGTTTTACCTGTAGTGCCTAGAAGTTCCAATTATGGCCTGGGACCAGGGGCGGATATAGGGCAGGGCGAATGGAGCAGCCGCCCCGGGCCCCGTGCCTCAAAAAACCCCGTGCATGCGCATGGCGTCACTGCGCATGCCCGTGGCAAAGAGGGGCCCCGCAAAATTATGCTGCCCGGGGCCTCGCAAAACGGTCATCTGCCCCTGCCTGGGACCTGACTATGTTAGGTGTACATACAAACACGGAACAGAGACAGTCTATGCCCCAAAGAGCTTACAGTCTAAATATAAGACAAGAGACAATAGGTGGTTACAGATTAATACAGCAGAGCACAAGGAAACTATGAAACAAATGTGCAGTTATCACATGACCATCTGCCTGCAAGTACTGTTGACAATGAATGGCTAAGAATGTGAATGGAAATTCTGATCTAAATTATTGTAGACATAAAGCAATCACTTACATTCTCTAAATAAATAGAAACAGCAAAAATATAGCCTAAAATTTATAACTAAAGGAAACACCTTAAAATGTTTTGTGCAGTGTATAAAATCATTTGATCACAGTATATGATCTTTTACATGATTATTTCTGAAACAAGAAACAAAGTGCATTCTTTCCTACTTCATAAGGAATGACCAGACATCCTAGAGGAAGTATGTGATCTGATACTATGTCAGTGGGGCTATCTTCATGCAATTTAATTGGATAGGTGAAGACTAAACAGAGAGGAGAACTTTCAGATCCATTTGGGATGAGAGATTATGGGTATCTCCACCCATTAAAAGGGCTGATTTAAATAGCCACTTAGATAACCAATTAGTACAAATAGTCAATTTACCGAATCTTTAGGACTGGAAGATAAAGCAATAAAATCCCACTTCTGCAACGAACTCTGCCAAGGAACAGAGGTGCTCCCACTCCTGGAAGGATGGGGGCTTTGTCATTAATCCAAACGAAACCATTTTTGATTGCTATCTAAATTCAAATTAATGGGAGAGGAGAAGACGAAAATAAGATGTATTGTTTCACTACATTTCAATCGCTATTAACAGCCAATCTAATATGTATATGGATTCACGTTATGCAAGATAAAACATTGCCAGGCACACACTTTTGCTGAAAGATAGGGTGCCGGCTTCCCTTAAAAAGATTTAAAAAAAATAAAGCTCTTTAAGAGAAGGCAAAAACTAAAATTCGCTGAAATGAGCCATCCTGCCTATGGGAAAAAATGATTCAGGACATAAACCAAAACGCAGCCAGTTTCTGCACATCTGGAAACTTCACTCCCCACCGTGCTACCTCCAGGAGGGGCTACCCCCAGCAATAGCCGTGAATGGAGAGAAGGGCTGTGGCTATAATTAGCCGCTGGTGATTGTCTCTGGGTTACTCACCCAAGTAACACAATGTTATGGGCATAGTTACAGTATCACACCGGGACATCCGGCCTGGGGCTATGGCTTATTTTAAAGGCTGCGTTCCAATTGCATGAAGAGCAAACCCGGGGGAGCTTGAGCAAGGCGCTTTAACCCCCCCCCAGGTAGGGGTGAGCCACCTACCCCAGCCCCTGACGCACATCGCCGCCAGCTCACTGCCGGCGCCTGGCAAAGCGCTGCTATTTATAGTGAGCTATTTTAATCCCGTTCGCTCATTGGCCGCCCCGGCTGGGTGACGGCACAATCGCACCCAGGGCAAAGTTAAGTTCCACGCCCCTGCCCCTCCCTCCCTAGGCGAGCGGAACGCGCCGGGGTCAGGCGGTGTCCTGGGAGCGGCGCGAGCGCCTGCGCGATGGCCAAAGAAAGCAGCGGCTTTGGGCGCCGAGTTTGCAGGACAGGCAGGTGCTCCTGCCGCAGAAGCAGAGGGAAGTGAGGAGGACTCCGATCCAGTGCAGCTCCAGCAGCAGCCCCCTGGCTGGGAGCGCAGCCCTGGAGAGGCTGCCTCATGTTGCTTCCCTCTCAATAGTAGTGTTAGTAACTAACCAAGGGTGGGCACTGGGAGAGGCTCAGAAGTTACAACTCGGCCCAGAGACAGAGATAGGGGGAAAAGAGCATTTATTCCCTGCCAGCTTAAGAAGAAATTAAGTGAACAGTGTAAAATAGACAACGACAGAGGGAGAAATGGGGTGGATACCTTACACGTGGGCTGGGAGTCGGACTGTAAAGAGACTTCATTGGTTAGTCCCTGTCTGCCCTCAGAATATTATTTGAAAAAATGTCCCAACGTTCCCACTATTGCAGCCTCTCTGGAAAGGGCCCTACTGGGAGCCATAGTCCACCAGCTGCTTATCAGTGTTTTCAAGTGCCATAGGCGAGAGCCTGACTTAAAGTCAAATGAGAGTTTTGTCATTAGCCTCGCTGAGGCCAGGATATCATCTCGTGTAATCTAATCCTGCAAAAGGCAAATCTAATTAGTATCTAATTACTATGTTCAAAATTGTGGCAATAACCAATAAATGGCTTCCTCTAAACTAGGGCTCTTATTGCTGCTAAAACTGGTGGAGGTGAATCTGTGTTAGCAAAGATGGGGCATTTTTGTCTGGACCATAAACAGATTTCCAGACACCACCCGTTACGGTAGCACAAGTCAAGGTTTTGTCATAATCTTGGTTACAGACATATTCGACAGGGCTAGCCTTAGAAATGTCATTTCAACAGAGAGAATGTTGCTATAAAAAGGGCAAAGTCACTCATAACAAGCACATGTTTTTTGTAACAACGGCCAAATTCACCATTGGCTTACACTAAAAAGGGGTGGCGGAAGATCCTGGGGGCAGGAAGCGAACAGTGAGGAATGGAAGGCATGGACAGGTTATAGCAGCATAAAGCAGCCACAATTTGACTTTCAGGGATAGAGACATAACACGTAAGGGATCAATCTGGCTCAGAGTGGGGGTGGTGACAGCCAAAAAGAGGACCTACCCATAGTGGCCAAGAGATCAACAGAGTGTGTTGTCAGCATAGCTCCTTGTGGCATTGTCCCCCACGCACAATAGGCTGCATCTGGAGGGCAGCCAGTTCATCTCTGTGACGGGTGCAATGGGGTGGGAGGGTGTTCTCTACATGTGCCTGCACCAGCTTTGCTGAATTAGGCCACAAGACTGGAGAATTCTTATTAGTCTTTTTCATTGTGGCATTCTTCTACTTTGTAGCCACAGAAAACTCTGCAGCTTCAATGAGGAACAGTGTCTTCAACTGTTCTGTAACCCCTTCTTGGAGAGGAGTCCTCTCTCCAGCTGGTCTGGTTGCTGTACCAGTATGCCCTTGAGAATAGTGTCAGAAGACTCCAATGAGCATCTCAAAGTGGACAGCTCCTGATCTCATTTAAGCAGATTAAATCAAGGTAATGCCAATTAAGTTACTGCAGTTACTTCCACATTCTGTGAGAGGGGAATCTGAACCAGAATCCCCTGTCAGGGGTCTCCAACCTTTTTAAGCATGAGAACACTTTTTGAATTTAAATGCAATCCAGGATCCACCTCAAATCCAGACACCCTTGCCCCACCTCTTTCCCGCCTCTTCTCCAAGACCCCGCCCCTGTTCACTGCATTCTCTCACCCTACCCCATCCTCACTCACTTTTATCAGGCTGGGGGCAGAGGGTTGAGGTGTGGGAGACTTTGATCTTGGGCTAAAGGATTTGCAGTGTGGGAGGGGCACTGAGCTGGGCCTGGGGCAGGGAGTTGAGATGCAAGAGGAGGTTCAGGGGGCTGGCTCTGGGTGGGAATTTGGGTACAGGGGGACTCAGGGCTAGGGTAGGGATTTGGGGTGCAGGAGGGGTTCAGGAGTGGGGCTAGAGTTTAGAATGCAGGCTCCAGGTGGGCACCGCTTACCACAGGTGGCTTCTTGGTGGTGGTACAGAGGACTCTTAATCTGGTTGAGAGTTGAAATTTTTGCCTATGAAAACAGGATCTGTGTCCCTCAGGGACCACACATAGCCAAAAAAGCCATAGATATTTTCTGCCAGATACTAGTGTTATTACATGTTAATATACATCTGACAGGGTACAGGATATTAGAACGGCCAGACTGGGTCAGACCTATGCTCCATCTAGTCCAGTATCCTATCTTCCAACAGTGGCCAATGCCAGGTGCTCCAGAGGGAATGAACAGAATGGGTGATTATCATCCCCTGTCAACCATTCCTATTCTTCTTATATTCTGTTTACTAGTGGACCTGGTGCAATATTCATTAGCTGAATTCAGGCAAATTACTAAAAGGGGGCTTAATACATCTCTGACTTAAATGCTCTTGAAGTCAATGGAATCACAACCTATGAGCCTGGAGCGAGCCATTATTTTTTGCCCCATCTCTGTCATTGGATTGTCAATAGCTATTTGTGTTATTCCTTAGAGAATTGAAATTCTACACAAAATTACTGGATTACCATAAATTAAATATGCATCCTGGTTGTTCATCTCCTGCTATTTCTTACTGATCTCCAAACAGTTGTTTTGGCTGTATTGCTTTCATAATCCAATTTAGAGATTTATACTGGTTTAAACATTTTTACTATACACTGGAAGCTCTATTGAAGAATAAAATACAGAAAAATACATTTTCTAGCTATAACCATTTAATCTGGTAAAGGGAAGTTTTCTTTATGTAGGGTTGTTGATTTTTTCATTTTCATGTAATCCATAGCAAATATATTAATTCTCTCTCATTCAGAGCCTGATCAAAAGCCCATTCAAGTCAATGGGAGCTTTTTCATTAACTTCAATAGTCTTTAAACAGGCCCTCTGTGCATCAAAGTGGATATTTGTAACAAGATATACCTCTTAGTGCTCTTCACAGGTCTGGGATTTAGGCAAAAGCACAGTTCATTGATATGCAGTTTAATCATGTGTCTCATATCCTGCATCTTGTTAACTCGATCCAAACAAAATAACAGTGTGTTCGAGTTTGACAGTGCTCTTAATTTAATCAATTGTCAGAGGGTTTATTTGGGATTTCATGATTTCTCATCTGCTGTCCAGAAAGCATCAACCCAGCATTTCCCCTAAATAGCTAAGAGAGGTGCTGAAGAAGACCACGGTTCACAAGAGCAAAGCTTCAGATCTGTGGTATATAGGGGCCACACAACACCAAAATGCCTACTGCAACTCTGGATTACTTACAAGAAGTTTCAAGTAGCAGAAATTCAGATTGCATTGAAATAGTAAAAGAAAGACTTCTAATCCTGATGAACCCTTTACAATTCCAATTGTCAACAAAAATGTGATAGGAGTTGGTATTAGGAGCAAGACATTTAATTATATGAACTTGCTTAGTCCTCTCAATTCACTTCTACCTGTAAGTTGGATCCATCTCTGAAGATTTGGCCTGATGTCATTGTCAAATTCCACTCTGATATGCATCCTGTGCAGTCCACTGACATCAAGAAAGGTTGCAAGAAAGATTGTCTAGTTCTTTTTAAAAACACTGCACACAACTATTTATTTCTTCATGAGGGATCAGACATTGGTGTAAATTGGCATAGCTCCTTTGACTTCAATATAGCTAGGCTGATAAACAATAGGGCTGTGTCTAGACTGGCCAGTTTTTCCAGAAAAATCAGCCACTTTTCCGGAAAAACTTGCCAGCTGTCTACACTGGCCACTTGAATTTCCGCAAAGGCACTGACTTCCTACTGTAAGAAATCAGTGCTGCTTGCAGAAATACTATGCTGCTCCCGTTCAGGCAAAAGTCCTTTTGCACAAAACTTTTGCGCAAAAGGGCCAGTGTAGACCGCTCAGATTTGTTTTCTGCAAAAAAGTCCCGATCGTGAAAATGGCAATCGGGGCTTTTTTGCGGAAAAGCACGTCTAGATTGGCATGGATGCTTTTCCGCAAAAAGTGCTTTTGCGGAAAAGCGTCAGTGCCAATCTAGATGCTCTGTTCCGAAAATGCTTTTAACGGAAAATCATGCCAGTCTAGACATAGCCTAGCTGAAGATTTGGCCAGATGTCATCTGTTATTGAAAATTATTGAATTGCCTTCTGGTTGAAATTGGCATACATAGTCTCCCATACAGTGGAGATTATGACATATAGGAGACAGGAAATCACAAAAAACTATTAGGTAGTTAAAAAGTCAGACAGTTTTTGCATTCACTTCAGTGGGAGTTGGAGCAAGACCTATATCAGGGCAAATATACATGTAATGGTAGTGGTGTTTTGTGTGATTTCCTGTTTCCTATATGCCATAATCTCCACTGTATGGGATACAACCAATTTAAACTAGAAAGCAATTCAATAATTTTCAAAGCCAGGTGACAGGCCAAATCTTCAGCTATTGTTTATCAGCCTAGCTATATTGAAGTCAAGGGAGCTATGCCAATTTACACCAACGTCTGGATCCCTCATGAATAAATAAATAGTTGTGTGCAGTGTTTTTAAAAGGAACTAGACAATCTTTCTTGCAACCTTTCTTGATGTCAGTGGGCTGCACAGGATGCATATCAGAGTGGAATTTGACCACAGAACTACAAGGATGAGGCAAGGTGAACTGTGGACTAGAAAAGCATGCGGCTATTAAAGAATAGCTTAGTTACTCAGGATAATCCAGGTTTAGTTGCTATGGCCTTCGAGTATGTTATTGTTGGGACATGACAGTAAACACACCACTTCATAATCAACATGTCATAAAATGAAATTACAACAGCTGTATAAATGAGCAGCTGGTAAAGTACGGTAAGAGTAATACAGGCAGTGAGAGATTCCACCTGTGCATTCAGATGGTACTATATGTTTGAATTTCCTAGAACAGGAGGTTTACATGAAATGAATGTGCCACCAACAAGCAGAATAAGTGAGGTTTCTTGCTATACGTTTGATACACCTGGAGAGATTGAGGCTGTATTTACAAAGCAATCTTGTTGCTTAGGATAATAATGGTTAATTTTGATTATGAAAACTTAAGTTCCGAGTGTTGAGAGAAACCATATGCAATTAGAGGTTATTTTGCATTACAAAGTAGAGAAAATCGAGTATTGATGTGCAGCATGATATTTAGTTAATGTTTGCAGTCTCACTGGCCCTCAAAGTGCACAAAGTGTATAATGTAAATGATTCTAGTGTAATATAGTTTCATTCCATGCAAAAAATTACTTTAAATAATGTTCAGGTGAAACTTAAGCACTCAGAGGTCAGAAATGCCAGCATTAAGATTGTAAGTCAACTCTGCCTACCTGAGTGTGTGTGTTGATTTATGAGCACATAACTATTTATTTACACAGGACACATACCTTATTTAAGCTCCAATTCAGTAAGGTACTTAAGTATATGTCCAAGTGAAACTGATGAATTCACTGAATTCCATAGGACTCCTGACATCTAGTGAAGTCCGAGAACTCACGGAAGCCAACTGGAATACTCGTTTGCTTAATATTAGGTAGTTAAAAATCTTGCTGACCTCTGGGCATGTCTATACAGGAATGAAAAATCCAAGACTGGGCTAAATCAGCTGACTCGAGCTCATGGAAGTTGGGCTCCTACAGTAAAAAACTGCTATGTAAAATTTCAGGTTTGGATTCTCTGGGACCCTGTGAGTATGTAGGGTCACAGAGTTAGGGCTTCAACTCAAGCCTGAACCTCTACAGAGCAATTTATAGCCATATAGCCCAAGGCCCCACAAGTCAAAATCAGCTGACCGGGGCTACCTGTGGTCATGCCATAGCACTTGTATCCCCATGTACACATAACTTTAGTGTATGGGTTAGAATCATGGGTTCCCAAACTGGGGGGGCATGAAGAAATTCCGGAGGGGGGGGCGTGAGACGACCCAGCCACAAACATCCTCGTCAATCCCACCCCAAGTTTTGCTGCTATTTTTTTGGGAGGGGGGGCGTGAGGGTTTCTCAAAAATAAAAAAGGGGGTGTGATGCCAAAAAGTTTTGGGAACCACTGAGTTAAATAATGGGTTGGAAATGAGACAGGGGAATGTTGTGAATCAGGTGGGGGTCTTGAAGATCCCTACATCAATCTGAGCCAAATTCCATTTGCAGTTATGACAATGTAAATTAAGAATAGTAATTCCATTAATTTCAGTGAAGAGTTACTACTCTTGATTTAAGACTACTGTAACAACCAAGAACAAAATTTGGCTTCTGACACATACTTTGGACAGTGCACTGTGATTTAAACCAGTATAAGTGGTGTGTGAGAACAGCAGAACATGACTTTCTCAGTACATAGGTTGCACTCACTGACAAGAGAAGATTAAACACCATGTTTATCTTACTATATTATAAATAATTTGATTTCCTAAATTATTATATAATTATTGTATATTATATAGCAATATTATATAAATATTTGATTTCCTATTTTAACATAGAGGTTTCATTTCCACAAAGAAAACATGTCATTTTTTGATGCTGGCAATCAGCAACTGTCCTTTGGGCTGCCTTCCTCTTCCCTCATGCTTTAATATATTATTTTTAAAATTGCGATTGCCGCCTTATCATCATTCAAGCCCTGATCCTGAACTGCTGAAATCAATGGGAGTTTTGCCACTGGAGTAGGAGCAGGAACTCACTGTGCAGTGCTCAGCCTGTGACAGAATTAGATGGGGAACCTGTGAAAATCGTATACACATGCATAATTTAAAAGCCTGTATGATAACATTTTTGTTAGCATGGATTTATTTGTATAAACGCACACTCTGGTCTCATTGAAGTCAAGAACAGGATTTGGACCAAAAGCTCTGTTTTACATTGTGTCATGTTTGTTCGTCTCAGCATGTTGCTGTTCCCATCAAAATCCAGTACTTGAAGTAACTTGTGTATTTACACAATGGAGTAGTGAAGGAGGCAATAAATTACTGTCTTTACCAACCGATCAGTTTGTTCAGCTCATTGCCACCTGAATTAACTAATTACACTTCTTTGAAAAAGGTCCATAAAATTAAAGCATAATTTCTCATGCCATTGATCGATATACAGGCAGTCCACGGGTTACGTACAAGATAGGGACTGTAGGTTTGTTCTTAAGTTGAATCTGTATGTAAGTCGGAACTGGCATCCAGATTCAGCCGCTGCTGAAACTGATCAGTTTCAACAGCGGCTGAAT